ACTGGCTGTTGGGGCAGGAACTGGCTCCAGGTGAGAGGTTGGGATACGCAGCTTCTGGGGAAACACAGAGCAGAGCAGGAACGTGAGCTCAGGCTGCATGGAGCTGACACAGACTTTTCTGCCTCTCACAGAAGAGTCTCTCTGCCTGGCCCTGACCAACCCACCGTGGCCATGCACAGCCTGCTGCAGAGCCGCTTCCCAGCATGTTGCAGACCGGGTCACTCCTCCCCCATGCCTTCGGACACAAGCCACGCGCCGCCTGTCCCCACCCAGCTCTCAGCCTGCACAGGCCGTCAGGATGCTAAATCCTGCCTCCGAGTTGCCAGGGTGCCAGCCTTCCTCACCCGCTTGGTAACTTTAGAGAGGCACCTTTGTGCTTCCTCCAGTGCTGCCCCTCCCCAGCAGCCTTGTCTTCCTTCCGTTTCCTCTGGAGCATTCTCCTGGGCTGTGATGGCTCCTGGTGTGCTGGGATCCCTGCCTGTCAGACTGACCGGTCTTACAGCACTGGTGCTCTCCCATCTGTCTGCTGGGCCCACACACTCTCTATGCCTCAGGCCTCAATTGTAAGCTCTTTGGGGCAGACCCGTCAGTCTGAGCTGGTAAAGGTCCCTGCACAGAGTGCTCCTGGCCCATGGCAGGGCTCTGGCCTCTATTTTATTCTGGGGTTTGCTTAGAGGTAGTGATGCCCCCTTGGGGACAGAGCAGCACGTTGTCTCCCTTCCGAGGACCCTGGTTTGCACACTGCAGCTGTGAGCAGGCACACACTGTACACTGCATTCTGCAGGGAGCAAGACTGCACAATTGGTGTGAAGGATGCACCTGCCAGTGCTTCTTGCTGAATGTTTGCAGCTGCCTAATACCCAGGCAGGATCCATGCGTGTCATAAGGGATTAACTGACTAGTAGCACTTTAGAACCAAACAAGATATATAGCTATTATCACAACCCACTTTACAGACTAACGCGGCTACCCCTCTGAAGCAGAAGGGATAAAGATCAAGAAAAGCTCAGCTCACTGGCCAGTGGAATCAGAGGTGACGGGGAAACGCTAAAGGCCCTTAGCAGCCGCTGCTATTAGTGACCAGTCCATGCAAGTGAACTGGCAGTTTCGAGGAGGTACCAACAGACCCACCCTCTTGGCTGCTCCAGACTCTGAGAGCTACCAAGGAGCAGCCTCAGCAGGCCCCCGCTGGCAGGAAGTGCTCCCTCTGAGGCTGTGCTAGCGGCAGGAGCAGCAGCCTGCCAGTCTCACGTACCTGTCCATCATGTATGGCTGTAGCCCAGCCGTCTGTCCCTTTAGTCAGTACAAAGACAACAGTGCTGCCCTTCACCACCAGCTCTTCTGAGTCCTCAGGGTAATAATGAGTCAGGACTCGACAGTAGCCTGAGTCATCATTGCTGGAAAAAAAGAACAGCTTTACTCCGCCCCTTTGGGGCTTCTACTCTGCCACTGGGGGTGTGGACACCATGGGTTAATGGGATTCCCTTCTCTTTACCCTTCCTGGAGCACACAGGCTAGGAACAGGCATTGTCTCCCGGAGGCCTCTGTGGATGCATTTGAAACACAAAGAGAGCCGGGACTTTCACTGCCTCAGGTGCCAAGGCAGCTTGGACCACGGCCCTCTTCTCTGGAATGGAGTACCCACTGCCTCCACTGGCGGGCCTGTGTCTTCACTGCAGTCAGAGCAAAGCCACACCTTTCTACTCTGTCCATCCAGGAACTTACGGCCTCCATCCCCCTGAAGCCACACACGTCACCGACAAGGACTGTCACCTTCCCACACCGCTGTGCAGCGGGGGGGTCACTACCCCCATTTTATAGGCAAGAAACTAAGTGACAGATGCCCGGCACTGGGATGCTACAGAATCTCCAAACCAAAACTTCTGGCGCCGAGTCAAGGTGCCACGAATGGACCTAGTGGCAGAAGAGCAAAGCCAGCTGGAGCTGGTCACTTACCGCACAGCACTGGCCCTGGGTTCATAAAAGCCCTGTCTCTGTGGAGAAACAACCGTGTCTGTTGCACAGATCCAAAGGTCCCAGGCCCGAAGGGACCCTTGTGATCATCTGGGGCCAGCCAACCCCCCGTAAGGTGGGCTGTAGAACTGCCCGGCAATGATTGTAACGGCTTGTATCAGGCAGTGCTACAGAGTCTGAGAGGGAGTTTCAGTTTCTGACATTTTCCCTCCTACTCTCCTGTGCCACACAGTCAGTCACCACTCCAGGGTCAGCCATCACAGCCACTGATGGGGCCTGTGCTGTGCTACGGCGCTAGAGGGTAGGAATGGCTGGGCAGGGGAGGGGCTGTATGTGGGATGCAGAGCCCCAGGGTAGCTCTCAGCTACACTAAAGCATTAGGGAGTCCGTGACAGGTTCTCATCCCGATGGAGTCCTTGGCCGGGGACCACAAGTGGAGCTGTGACAGCGATGCCATTACACGGCCTTGCCAGGCATAAATCAAGTGACCATCCCATCAGTTGTTGCACTGTCCCACTCACCTGTGGCCTGAGAGGCTCAAACCCGATGTACTCATCATTGGGAATGACAGAGGAGATCACCTGTGAGGACAGAGCAGAGCAGCCAGGTCCTGTTAAAACTGCGCCTGGGAACCAGCCACTCACTCTGGTTTCCCCATGAGCTCCCTAGTACCACATGGCTCCAGTGAGAGTCACTACCCACGACGGAGAGGGCAGAGCTGAGCCCTAACCCTATCTATTTCCTGGGGCCTGGTTAGCGCTATGGGTCTGCGGGTGCATACAAGAGCACAACCATTCATGTGCTCTACACTCAAGAGGCTCCTGGCCTGTGACTCAAAAGGAAGCAGAGGTCACAGCCATGAGAAATCTGATAACGTTCTCCCAAGGGCACTAGCCAATTAAATAAAAGCCAAGCCGCAACCAGCGGGAATGCGCTACAGCTGCGGGAGGCAAACCCTGCGGGAGTGTCAGGTGAGCCACGTCTGGGAAAAGTCATTTTTCAGCATAAGGACTAATCAAAGAGTTCCCTGAGTGCCCGATGAGCAGTTTTCAGAGCTCACAATCAGCGATGGCCCAGCGGTATCCGCACCAGAGCAGAGGGGAGGCATGCTCTGTTTGCAGAGGGCCAGATCATGGCTCTCACTGGGTCCTGGCGGAGCCCTTTGTTTGTTGCTCCTTGGGCAGGTAGCAGGACGGGGCACAGCAGTGGGTGGGCAGTGACCGAATGGGCAGTGAGCTGGGCAAGGAGAAAGGCTGGCATTTCCCTAAGAAGGGAGGAGAAAGCAGGGCCCAACCTGTGACTGAGGCTTGTCTTCACTACATGCTCAGAGCTATGTTTCTCCCACCTGACTCCTGGCCACACCCCCAAACTCCAGGTGAGCGTCATGAGGCTGTATGTTTGAGCAAGGCGGCCTCTCAGGGATTGGGTTGAAGCTAGAGAGTTGCTGATGTGGCATGGACTCAGCAACCGCTAATCCAACCAGGGCATGTCCATGCTATGGAGACCACCCTGCATAGCAACATCAGCACGGCCTGAGAGTGTCAACGCAGCTGGGCTGACAGAACAGGTTCTTCTGTTGTATAGGAGTCCTACCCCTCAAACACTAAAACCTTCCTTAGTCAGAGTTGCTTCCACACATGGGTTTTTGTTGGCAGAGCTGCATTTTTCAGTGCTCCTTTTCTCATTTGTTCAGAACAGAACAGGCCTCATTCTGTGATGCTAATCCAATCACCCTGTTTTAATCGGAGTGTTGTTTTGCAGGGCAACACCTCACATAGGAACTAGGCTAAATCAAGTGGAGTAACTTGCGTGTATTAAATCAAGAAAACTTTTGCAGTGAAGACAAACACTTAGTTAACGTTTGGTCCCCAATCTGCTTCCCAGGAAATGCAACTATGCACTGCCCTCTCCTGTGAGCAGATGGGAAAGGTCCAAACTGTGTCTATTTCCTGCAGCATCCCTCCACTCACAAACAGGCCTGTGACCTCAGCCTCCTCCAATTCCCGAGCTGTAGAATGGAGACAATAACTCACTTCTCTGGGGATGAAGGCACTAATGTTTGTAAAGCACTTTGTGATCCTCATAAAAATGTGCTGTACAAGGGCTAAGTATTTATTTAACATTGAATTTCAAAACGTTTTTCTCCTGGATACAATAACCCAAGCACTGAAGAACACTTTCCATATGTTCACACATGCATCCAACAGATCTCGGATCATTCCCCTCCATTTGTGAAAATGATCTTGCTCCCTGCAAGGACTAACAGTAGGGAACCATTCTAGAGAGAGGAAAGGGGAAAACCTGATGAACCGGTTCTGAACAATGGAGCCACTGTGGTGGGGGTCTAAAGAATCTCAGCTGCTATTTCCCAGGCAGAGTGGGTGCCTGAGGGCCTAAGCAATGTTTGTCTCAGGAGCCAGGAGAGAGCCCTGGGCCTGGTAATAACGCTCTCAGGAGTAACCAGAGCCCCAAACCTTAGTTTGCGCATTGCTGACCTTAGTCACCAGGGCAGGATGCTAATAACCTTGCACTAGGACTGACCTTTCTGCAATCCAGGAGCCCTTACCTTGGGTTTACCCAGGAAATCTTTTGAATCCAGCTGCTCAACTTCCTCCTTCCGTGGTCTGAAAAATTTCCCCAGAGGGACGTGTATGGGCTCCAGGAAGAGATGCTCCTACAACACAGTAGGAGGGGGGAGAAATCAAACTAAGGACACTAGATATAATTAACCACAGCTTACCATTTAAAAGTGAAAAGTAAATATTGCTCCCCAATATGGTGTGGGCAACCCAGGGAATTCGGTGTAGCAGAAATTACGTACTTGAAAAAGTATGACCTGGAGTTGACCAACATGTGAAGGCTAAGGATAGTTCATGCTTCTGGGCATAGGGTGATTTCTGGAGCTATCGGGCAGGGGTGAAGGGAGACAGTGAAACAGGATTTACTAAATATACCTCTAATCTGCTTCTCCAGTTGATCTCCCTCAATTTTATTGTTCTCTGTTAATTGTAACTAGAGCCTAGCACTTAGACCCCAGTCCTAGCAAATACCATTGTACAAAACACAAAGAATGGGGTGGAAATAATACTGGAAATAGCATAAAAGCCATTTTGGGAAGCAACGTTTCACCCTTCTCTGGAATTTTGTGTTTGCTTCTAGTCGCCCAACCTGGCAGGAGTCAGGAGAGAAATGAAAAGGGTTCAGGAGGGGCCATGCGGCGAGGGGCTTGTACGAGCCGTTTGCTTACGGGGGAAGATGCCTAAGAGGAGACTGGAGGGAGCAATAGAAACTAATGAGCAGTCTAGGGCTCAGTCAGGCGCTCCTGCTCCCCTGGCCGATAATACAGGTATGAAATCAAAAAGCAGCAGTTACAAATGACAAACGCTGGTGACACCAGTAATTAGCCTCTAAGGCTCATTGTCACAAGATAGCACTGAGGCCAAGGATGAGCCATGTTATGGACAATAAAATAATCCAGAATGACATTCCACAGGGCTTTAACCACTTGATGGGGAAATCACCGGGGGCAGGCCTCTTACTCCCAGCAGCTAGAAAGAATCTTCCCTATGGCCAGGTCATCCCATCACTGCCCACGTGGTGTGTCTTGCCCCTTTCTTTGAAGCACCCGGCAGTGATGGCAACGGGATACTAAATGAGATGGACAATTGCCTGACAGGGCACTGCAGCTCCTACATGTCTCAGGGCAGGTGGCAGGCATGAGGCAGATAGCAAAGCAGGAGCACCCCAGGCTTTGCAGTGCTTCCAGCCCAGGTGCACACTATTTCACTTGGGCTGAATGAAATGTATCCCCAAGACTCAAACCCCTTTCTAGTCAGCCTCACCTGCACCCGCTCCAGGGCAACGTCCAGACTTGGGGTTCTTCCTTCAGGCCCTTGTCTGAGAGAATCCTCCAGGGTTACTCTTGCTTCTTGCCACAGCCCCAGCTGACACTGTGCTGCTGCAGTATTGTACAGCACCTGAAAACAGCACCAAGGCCATGAGACCTTTGCCAGCAATTCAAAGGAATCAAAGCAACCAGAGGCAGCTCAGGGAAGCCAACCACATGCAGAAACTCCAAGTGAAATGGAAAAGTGCCCAGAACAGCACAGACACTGCAGCCAGCTGGGGCAGCCCTTCTCCTGCTACTGATCGTGAGAGAGTTAGGTCTTACACCACTCAGAGAAAAGAAATGCTGCCCTTTCAGAAAGCTGCCTTGCTAGACCCTGCTGCAGCCAGGAGCCTTTGGGTTGGATCAGGTCTAACTACCTGGGTGCTGGAAGCAAAGAGGATCATTCTGATAACATATGGGGCACTGGAGTTTAATCCTTCTCTAGGCATTAGTGGCTCTAACATTTTCCCTGTCCATGTTTCACAGCTGTCTGCAAGCATGTGTCCTGCTGCTCTGACCCCCTTGCTCTCTGGCAGACTCTGTGGTTGGTGTCAGACATTCACTAGCCACACCCAGGGAGGAAAAATGCAGTGAATAATCAACTTCCACCCTGACTTGATTAGCCTCATTAAACACAAGCAATTTCTTCCTCCTATATATCCCTGCTTTAGGAACTCCAATTCATCTGACAAAGGGACTGCATCTAGACTGGCAAGTTTTTCTGCAAAAGCAACTGCTTTTGCGCAAAAACTTGCCAGCTGTCTACACTGCCCGCTTGATTTTGCACAAAAGCACTGACGTTCTACTGTCCGAAATCAGTGCTTCTTGCGCAAATGCTTTGACGTTCCCGTTCGGGCAAAAGCCCTTTTCTGGAAATGTTTTTGTGCAAGAGGGCCAGTGTAGACAGCTAAAAACTGTTTTGTGCAAAAAAGCCCCGGAGGCGAAAATGGCGATCGGGGCTTTCTTGTGCAAAACCGCGTCTAGATTGGCACGGACGCTTTTCTGCAAAAAGTGCTTTTGCAGAAAAGCGTCCGTGTCAATCTAGATGCTCTTTTCTGCAAATGCTTTTAACGGAAAACTTTTCCGTTAAAAGCATTTGCGGAAAATCATGC